CAGGATTGCCAAATACCGGGGCCAACGGGGTATGCGGAGAGAAGAAAAGAAAGGTTTACTCTCTCATCTTTTTAAGTGGGAGAACTTGCACAATTGGTGGCTGACTAAATACTTTTTTGCCCCACTGTATATAACTATGTAACACAAGGCATTGTCAGGGCCAGAATCATTACTCTGCAATATAACGTATCATTTACCTTTATATTCATCTTACTTTACGTTTGTGCAGCACCTAAAGTATGGACGAGACCAATAACATAAAATGGCATTACAAACCTCTGGCCACGCCTGGGTTAATAGCTTAAAGAGGCCCAGAGTTCTTCCCTGTGCCCTTTAACATAGTGGAGAAAGGAGGAACAAAGGACAACTGGGTCTCTTAAACTTCCACGCTTAATTCCTAAAGCCTGAAACAGCTGGACTTGCTTGGGGTATCTGAAATTAGGGAAAGAGCCTGAAGCGACAATACAAAAATATTTTCCAGTGCAGCTCTGTAAAAGTGTTTCTCTCCTTTGCTATTAGGTCTGGGGAATGTCACCTTTCTTGGCCTGGGATACCCAGAATTCCACTGGTAATGCCAACCATCTTCAACATCGGCACAGAACACACCGTTCCATTCTCAACACAAACAAGTACAACCAAAACTCAAACAAAATAACAGACTTTACGTGTATCTAGGGTAAAAGGGATAAAGACGTACAATAACATACTATATACACCGATCAGCCAAAACACTATGACCACTGGCAGGTAAAGTGAATAACATTCTCATTACAAGGGTATCTGAATGTTGGTGGAATATATTAGGCAGCAAGTGAGCATGTTGTCCCTGAAGGTGATGTGTTAAAAGCAGAAAAAATGGGCATGTGTAAGGATTTGAGTGACTATGAAAAAGACCAAATTGTGATGGCTAGACGACTGGGTCAGAGCAACTCCAAAACTGTGGCTCTTGTGGGATGTCCCGATCTGCAGGGGTCAGGACCGACCCAAAATGGTCCACGGAAGGAAAACAAGTGAACCAGAGACAGGGTCATGAGTGGCCACGGCTCATTGATACACATGGGGAGCAAAACCAGGGTTTTGTAGTTGGATCCAGTGAAAGAGCTACTGTAGTTCCATTTGCTGAAAAACTTGATGCCAGTTCCTATGTAAAGGTGTCAAAACACACAGTGCATTGCAGTTTGTTGTGTATGGGGCTGCGTAGCCACAGACCAGTCTGGGTGCCCATGCTGACCCAATCCACAGCTAAAAGTGCTTACAATGGGCACATAAGCATCAGAAACCAGACCATAGAGCACTGGAAGAAGGTGGTCCGATCTAATGAATTCAAAAATGGTGCGAGGAACACAAGTTTGAGGTGTTAACTTGGCCTCTAAATTCTCCAGATCTCAATCCAATTGAGCATCTGTGGAATGTACTGGAAAAACAAGTCTGATCTATGCAGGCTCCACCTTGCAATTTACCAGACTTAAAGGATCTTCTACTGATGGCTTGGTACCAGATACCATAGTATACTTTCAGAAGTCTAGCCTTCACGGGATATGCTGGGTGGTCATAATGTTATGGCCGTTAAAGGGTGTCAACAGAGGAACAACTAAGTACCCAGTAGCAGCAAATATAAATATATATTATACATATATAGATATATCTATACAGATATATCTATATATATATATATATACACACATATATATATATATAGTGTTTTACCTGCAAAAAAAAAAAAAATGTCACCTCTTCCTCTGAAAGCTCACATGAGCACCAACTCTTCCCACCCAATAACAGAGCATGCATTGCCACTGCAAGCCTTATTTTAGCCTTCAGCTGGCTAGTGTCAGCTCAGTGTAATGGAGGATTTCATGTAATTGTGGTTGCTGAATGGTACAACTATTCCATGACCTGGATGTGAAATTACATATTAGGTGAGTGTTCTAATAAAGTGGAACTACAGTCAAATCTTAACAGGACAGATTATGAACAGTACAGTGGAAACAACTAAATATTCATAGAAGCAGTTAAAGCACAACTCCAGTAAAAAAGCTGTTTTTTTTTTTTTAGTTAGAACCGTTGTTTTATAGCTGTCTTTTATGCTGTGAGTGTCCCGGAGAGAAGTAAGGTGATTGTAAAGGCTGAAGGTTTTTTACCTTCTTGCTATCTATGCATGAAGGTAAAAATCCTTCTGTGTGCAGTATCCCCCCCAGTCTCCCTATTACTCACCTGAGCCCCCTCTCGATCCAGTGTTGTGCAAGGGAGCCTCACCTGTCCCTCTCTTCATTGACTGAGACAACAGTGGGAGCCATTGGCTCCCACTGCTGTCAATCACAGCCAAGCCAGGACTCTTTGTGCAGGGGTGGGCAACTGTGGCCCTCCAGCTGTTGTAGAACTACAAGTCCCATGAGGCATTGCAAAACTGAGTTACAAGCATGACTCCCAAAGGCAGAGGCATGATGGGACTTGTAATTCACCAACAGCTGGAGGGCCACAGTTGCCCACCCCCGCTCTATGTGTCTTATGAACGCATAGAGCAGGGCTTGGGAGTGAGCATACAGCAGTGCCCCCAAAGCAAGCGGCTTGTTATTGGGGACACTGGTCGGCAGGGGACCCGAGAAGAAGAGGATTGGAGCTGCTCTGTGCAAAAAACTGCACAGAGCAGGTAAGTATGATGTGTAAAACAATAAAATAATCTTGCACGCTTCTATAGATAACAACTACCCATCTAATAAATCACCTATGTTGAATATATAATATAACCATAATTACTGTGTTTTTTCTAAATAAGTAGCCGCTAGTACACCCAAACCTTATCTCATTTCAGGATTAAATTATAAGTACAGGGATCAGTGCAGCGCTAAAATATAATAAATTATGCACCCCTTGTGACTAAACACATTGGGGCGGGGCTTTGTATGACGTCACGACGCTCCACAGAGCCGGCGATGGTAGCGGCAGTAGCGGTGTTTATTGATTGACATCACGGTAATCATCGTGTTTTACCCACTGCATGGGTTCAACTATTGCTGACATTCCACGGCACAAGTCCACGGATCTCGGGCATATTTATATTAACAGAGGCTGATTGTACTTCATCATCTACACGAGTGCGCAATTTATTTACTTTGAGATATTAAAATATTTTTAAGCTTATGCCAGGGGCGGACTGACAACTCATGGGGCCCCCAGACAATAGGAGATCATGGGGCCCCTATGTCCTTGCCCACACTCAAAAAAGCCTATAAAAAAGGTACCAGGGGCATTTCATGGGGCCCCTACTGACCCCGGGCCCTCGGACAGTGCCCGAGTGTGCGAATGGTCAGTCCACCTCTGGCTTACGCACATGTGGAGTCTTTTATTTATGAGGTGATGTGATGGTTGAAGCTAAATTCTGGACAAGTTGTGAATAATAGCTGGGTCCATCAAGTCGATCTACACTGTCCACAACGGGACCAAAAGCGCAGTTAGACCAAACATCGTATCATGTGAGGTCGTATTGTTGGAGGTGATCAGACATCTGGTGGCGGAGTATTTGCACATTTATGTTTTGGAGCACTTGGTGTTCACATAAGCAAATAAGGATGGAAGTATTTGAATGAAGATAAATCAACTTATTTATAAACTTACGTTTTGTGATTTTTATTTTGTAATTTAATATATTGTAGCGCTGCACTGATCACTGTGTTTATAAGGTAAGTATGATGTGTTTGGTATTTTTTTAAAAAGCCGAACCTCTGGGGCTGGTTCACACTATAGAAACGCATTCCAGATGCATTTTTGCATACACTTTTTTTACGCATTTTTGGCACTTTCCGGTGCGTTTTTTGACGCGTTCCAGTGCGTTTTTTATGCATTCCAGTTCACTTCTTTCCCCTCTCTTTTTCTTCAATTTAAATAGGGACATGTGCGTTCCAGTGCGTTTTTGGTGTATTTTACTGCGTTCCAGTACAGTTCTGTGCAGAAAAAATGCAGCCTGTTCTACTTTTTTTTCTGCAACTGGAACGCACTGGAACTGCAAGCACTGATGTGAACTATGACACTGACCACCATATCACCTACTTTCTGTGCATTTTAGTTGCAGAAAAAAGCAACTGAAACGCATGTATTGTGAACTGCCCCTAATACCGCTTTATTTTGACTTCCTGTCCCAAAGAACAATCAGGAAAATAAAAGAAATCTAACCTACACTAAACACTTGAGAAGGGTTCTAACACTTTTCTACACTATCCAAAATGGAAAAAAATTATTTGGCTGGATTTTACCTACAGTCCCCACCCCCGCCCCCCGCCCTCTGGTCTCTGTTTCGAATTCACACCTATGCCCCACTTTATGTAAAATCAAAAGACTTTTGGCTGGATTTAGAGTGGTACTTTATCCATGACAACTTGATAAAAATAATGTTTTTTAGAAAGGAACGCACATTCCATATTAATAATTATGCTACCAAAATTTATGTGTGCTGTAAACTGCCTCCAGCATTGTTTCTGTTTCTTCTTGCTGGAGGCCACCATTTGGCTGAAGCTCAGAGCTCCTGAGCAGCAGTAAATCTTTAAGCTGTCAGCAGCTTGGCCTCTACAAATTCGGTAGTCCCAAAAAATAGGGAGCAACTGAGCATGTGCAAAGCAGGGTGAGACTGTATTTTAAACACTGTAGTCACTTATTTTTATGTTTTACATAGCTATACCTGCAAGGGGCAGCCTGAAGTGATCCAGCAGGACTGACTACAGTTCCACTTTAAGCTCTCAATGAAAAACTAAAACCCTGTCCCAAATATTAGCACTCCACATGTTCTACATAGACATATCACAAATAGTTCACAGAAGCACATTTATTTGAAAATGCATGCAAGTGTTCTCCCCAACAACGGCACAGACAGAAATAAAAACTTTAAGTGTTGTCATGGTCTTTTTTTATCATTCTTTCAGTACTGTGCATGATCCTTTGGTGTAGGGATTGCCTAGAGTTGTGCTTCAACATTGGGTTCTCTCATTGAAATTGAAGCTATATAGTACCTGCCAAAGGCTCCATATGTGTTGACAATCCGTAGAGGGTTGAAGGACGTGTTCATAACTTGTCTGGAGCTCATCAGATTCACAACAACGGGGATACTGAGGTAGGCAATGAGGACGCCCAAAGACACATGTAGAATCTGGCGGATGTATGAACCTAGGTGAAAATGGCTTGGTTAGCTGGGTGTAACTGAAAGCTTCCCAAAGAATGTAACCTAAAAGTTTCAAAAGTGTAATACCAAATTCAATGGCTGTTCTGGTTGAGGAGCCTAATTGCAGAGCTTCCAGGAGTGGATGTTTGTATAGCAGCATTGGCCTTCGTAGCCTAGGGTGGTAGGGCTTCAAGGAGTGGATTTTGTATAGCAGCATTGGCCTTTGTAGCCTAGGGTGGTAGGGCTTCAAGGAGTGGATTTTTGTATAGCAGCATTGGCCTTTGTAGCCTAGGGTGGCAGCGCTTTCAAGAGTGGATTTTTGTAAAGCAGCATTGGCCTTTGTAGCCTAGGGTGGCAGCGCTTCCAAGAGTGGATTTTTGTAAAGCAGCATTGGCCTTTGTAGCCTAGGGTGGCAGGACTTCCAGGAGTGGACTTTTGTATAGCAGCATTGGCCTTTGCAGCCTAGGGTGGTAGGGCTTCCAGGAGTGGACTTTTGTATAGCAGCATTGGCCTTTGTAGCCTAGGGTGGTAGGGCTTCAAGGAGTGGCTTTTTGTATAGCAGCATTGGCCTTTGTAGCCTAGGGTGGCAGGACTTCCAGGAGTGGACTTTTGTATAGCAGCATTGGCCTTTGTAGCCTAGGGTGGTAGGGCTTCAAGGAGTGGTGGCTTTTTGTATAGCAGCATTGGCCTTTGTAGCCTAGGGTGGCAGGGCTTCATGGAGTGGATTTTTGTATAGCAGCATTGGCCTTTGTAGCCTAGGGTGGCAGGGCTTCATGGAGTGGATTTTTGTATATAGCAGCATTGGCCTTTGTAGCCTAGGGTGGCAGGGCTTTGGATTTTTGTATAGCAGCATTGGCCTTTGTAGTCTAGGGTGGCAGGGCTATAGTGCATTTTTGTATAGCAGCATTGGCCTTTGTAGTCTAGGGTGGCAGGGCTTCCAGGAGTGGATTTTTGTATAGCAGCATTGGCCTTTGTAGTCTAGGGTGGCAGGGCTTCCAGGAGTGGCATAAGCTTCCCACATATCGTATTGCACCAACACGGGGGTCTTCAAACTTTCTAAACAAAGAGCCAGTCCTTACTGTCCCTCAGACTTTAGGGGGGCTGCATTGTGGCCAGTGGGGGAAAAACATTTCTTGGTGTCCAGTGGGAGTAAACAATGCCCTATTTTTGGTGTCATTGAGAGGAACAGTACCCATCACTGGTGTCAGTGGAAGAAATTGTGCCTGATCATTGGTATCAGTGGGAAGAATAGTGCCCCTTTTTGATGTCAATGGAAGGAATTATGCCCCATTTTTGGTGTCAGTGGAAGGAATTGTACCCCATTGTTGGTATCAGTGACAGGAACAGTGCCCCATTGTTGGTGTCAATGGAAGCACTTTTTGATTTACATTCTGTGAGGTTGGTTGTATCTGATGACCTGTGCCAGACCTGTTAAGCTTTATTCATTCACCACATGTTTATCTGAGTGCAAGAATACACATGTTGTTAATGGAAGGGATTGTGCCCCATTGTTGATGTCAGTGGGAGAAAATGTGCCCCATTGTTGGTATCAGTGGATGTAATAGGGCCCCAAGGGCCGGCTAAAGGCAAGCAAAGGGCTGCATCTGGCCCCAGAGCTGCAGTTTGGAGACCTCTACACTAACACAATTTTGTGTATACTAATAAAAGGTTCTAGAATGCCATAAGTAATACATCCAGGTCCTCATTGTTAGATTAGTCCGGCTGAAAAAAGACAAGTCTATTGAGTTCATCTAAAGAACACAAATAAATAAAATAATAACCTGCATCCTCAAAACCCTAAACATGTATTTGATCCAGAGGAAGGTGAAATATCCCTTATTAACCATGATCCAATCTGCTTTTTTTCCTCCTGATTCTCTAAGAAACCCCCTGGACCAACAATCTACAATGATGGTCATATTTTGGGTATCTAGACACACATCCAGCCGTTTTTGAAACATTCTACAGAACTGGCTAGAACTAGAATGTTCCACATTATCACAGCTTTTACTGTACTGTACTGAGGTTCAACATACCATTCCCAAGGGAAAATCAGATCACCCGTATCCATTGCAATGATCCCAAATTGAACAACTTTGCATCAGGTTTACTCTGTGGGCTATGTATGAATATGTACTATATAAGATGTTAAATAATGATGTTGCTAAGGCTTGATTCACATTGATGTACTACAGCATACACCCGTGCAAGGGCCGTGTTTGCCCGCACAGGGATGCACCAGTGTTCCATGCATTCCTGTGCTGGCAATCCCATGCATGTCAATTGGGATGCAGTGGATGCACAGATACAGTTGTTGCTCCCAATCTAACAATCGTGCGGGTGCATGTCCCCAAACGCACCGCACTGATGTCAAATCGGGGGCAATGGCTGTGTCTGTGCAGCTGCTTCGTCCCAATTGACATGAATGGGATTTCCGGCACTGGTATGCACAGGATACCTGTTCATCCCCTCATGGGCAGACACTGCCCTTACACAGGTATACCAGTACTGTTAATGAGGCCTAATCCTGCAATGTGCATGCATTTGTCCTGTGTATCCATAGTTTGCCCACTCTGGGTTAGTACACCTAGAACTAAACTGCTAGCAAAGTGGTGAAGCATGCCGTAGTCTTCTAATTGACATCAGATTCAGGTGTACGACGCAGAGGGGACAAACTTCCTTTTTAAGAACTGCACCCCCAGCATGAGTGTGTCCTGTGTTACACTAATGTCTTGTCTTGTCTTGTCTGTGAAGGTCCTCAATTATCCAGGTCATTGTACAGCATATCTATATAGTAGTAATGCCGGCCATCGATGTATTGAATCTTGGCTTGCTCAGCAGGGACTGGCCAAGATTCAACCCATCTATGGGCAGGCTGATTGTACCAAAAGTAAATCCATCGATCAACTTGGGTACAACCAGCCTGTCCGATTTTTAGCATTTGAATACTGCCCGCAGCCATAACCAGTAGCAGTAATCATTGCAAAAAGCTCCCCGCGACCCCCCCCATCCTTCCCAGGAGAATACAAATGGGCTGTGGGAGGCATTCCCCCATCAAATCTTACTGTGTTGATAGGGGAATTGAATGATTTTCGTGCTTCCACCAGGAAGGAAAGAAAATCAATTAATCTATGGCTTGCCTAAGTCACCTTTACCAAACTTTGATTTGTAAAGTTGAAGACATCCAAGGATCTTCCTCATTTCAAATACATTTCAAGAACATATATAGGTAGGCGAGTGGTGGCCTCACTTGAAATTAAAAAGGCCTTTGATACTGTTGAGTGGCCTTTTCTATGGGAGGTCCTCCGTAGAATGGGCTTCCCTCTGGTCTTCATTGATTGGCTGAGGGTGCTCTACTGTAACCCCACTTCCTCTATTAGGCTGGGTGCTGGTTTATCGTCTCCTTTCCCCTTGGCCAAGGGAATCCGGCAAGACTGCCCTCTTTCTCCAGCCTTTTTCGCCATAGCCATGGAACCCATCGCAGAAGCTATCTGTACTTCCCAGCACATCAAATGTCTATGCATTGGCTGGCTGGAAGAGAGGGTGTCCCTGTACGCGGACGACATGCTCCTTTTCCTTAATGATGGAGGCCCTTCCCTACAAGGTGATTTTCAGGTCCTGAACTGCTTTTCCCTTCTTAGTGGCCTCAAGGTCAACTGGACCAAATTCCTTCTTTTTTCCCCTGCATCGACCCTGCGTCCAAAGCTAATGCCCTCCTGATTTACAATTACGATGGGTAGATCAATTTAAATACCCAGAGGTGACGATTTCCAGCCAAGCGTCAGACTTTTCCTCTTTTCCTCTCTTCCCAGTCATACAAGATATCAAACCCAGCCTACTTCTTTCTTATGCCAGGACAGCTAAAGCGTTGCACTGGAAGAAGTCCCCCCCCCCCCCAACCGCCCATTAATATAGTTTTGGAAACAACTGGTGAACAACTGCTTGCCTCTCTATAAAGACATCTGTACCAATAGAGGCTGTCCTAGGAAGTATGACAGGGTATGGTCCAAATGGTTAGCTGATTTGTCTACTGCCTCAGAGATGGCCGTCTGATAGATAAATCTCTATCCATATTGTTTTATGTGTATATTGGATACGGGAACACCCACCCTTTTCTCTTTCAGCATATTTTCCCCGATACTATTCTATATTGATATGACCTTGTGATCGCCATTAATGGTAATGTGAGCCGCACCTTTTTACCTTTGGGTGTCAACTCTATACATTTTACTCCTATGTGACTTTCTCCTACTGCCCCTGCGTGAGCTTAGACCCTTGTAGATTGATGTTGTTTGCACTTGAAACCTAATAAACAGACATAAAAAAAAATAAAAATTCAAGAACATACCTCAACATTGCCACATGAATTACCCATGGAGTAAGAAATGTTGGAATATATTCCCCAGGCTCATTTGAACTGAGGAATATCCTTGGATTAGTAGCTAAAGGTCTTCAACATTACAGAACGAGTCCAGTTGAGCGGCTCTTGGATGGATAACATTTCAGCAGAGCCAACCAATCAACGGTCTAATCGTGTGTTCCTCCCCTCTGATTTTTTTTCCAGATTTTCATTATTGCATCATTTTGCATGCAGCTACACCACTTTTTTTATTGTTTTTCTCACAACATTCTACTTCCTTCACTTGCCATTTTGCATTTATATAAACCTTTATAAAAGCCAGCCATTAAAAATGGTAAAAAGCTCTAATAAAAAAAAATGCCATGTTTTGTCAGCTGGTTTATAAGAAGCCCCATTATGGTGGCAGACCAGCTTACACAAGGCCCAGCAGTGGGAACTGTTATGGCATTCTGGGAATTAGCCTTTTTCGCTGGCTCAGACCTGCATAATTCTTAGTAATGGGGGGTCTGCGTGGTATAATGCTATGATTGGCTCCAGTGTGTGGTAACAAGAAAAAAAAATAGCC